TATTCCAACAATATCAAGGCAGGGGACACCAGAAATGGGCTTCACCCCAGATAGCAAAGGTTTGTTGGGCCAATGTTTGGTATATGGTTGGTTGGTTGGCCACCGGTTTGACAACAGTGGCCCAACGTTATCTTAATGACTTAAAAAGTATCGGTGGCTTTGGATACGTTGGTACAACAGTGGGCCAACATTGGAAGAACTCTGCCTGTTTTCCCTCTGATCTTATATCTATTTCAGGAAGTTGGCTCAACGTTCGCCCAACGTTGTAAATAAAAGAGTTATCTCCCCTATTGTCAATGAGCACATGACTATTTTAGCCATGTTTTCGTATTAAGATTTCGATGAAAGTTGAACAAAATGCACAGAAAAAATAATCAATTTTCCCGTATTTCAACTATGATATCGCGAATTTTATGGCGTTTTTCTCGAAATTGAATACCAAACGTGTCATCACTGATAACTTCACCCTGATATGCGAAGAGCAGACGACACTACATTCTGGAGGCCTTCAGTTGGTAAATATGCATTGTTACTTCTGTGATACTGATTTCTGAATATATTGTGAAAAAATTGGTTTCCATCATAATTTAAGTTATGACTCATACTGTATTGAAAGGCAATTTATTGAGTAGATAAACAGATTAATTGACTTTTTGTAGGTAGCCTGGTTTAACTACATTGATAAATCTTATCATTTCATTTTAAATTATTTGAATTTACTGGGTTTACTTTATTAACATTATGACCTGGTGAGGTTTTGTTACATTATTTACCAAAGTGTATGGCAAGCAATTGTGAAAAAGGGACTGCATTTGCTCAACATTGGCTCAACATTAGCCCTACATTGGCACGACATTGGTCCATTTTAGATTTTAAAGGTACAGAATATAATGGCATTTATGTCCAAGTCTTACTGGACTTGTAGAAGGCAAATTCAAGAGAGAGTCAGTGAGCACTTACAAGATATAGGGGGTGGGAAACAGTGCCCCAGTGCCCGATTATAATCTTACTGATTTTTATATGCATGTTAATCATGACATTGAAGAACATTGATGCTGAAACACAAGAGTTTATTGAGGATTTTGTTGACTATCAATACCAATGTGTATCTTCAGACACTGAAAACTCAGATACAGATAAAGAAGACATTATGTCTCAGTTAAAAGATTGGATAAACAATTTTCAAATTCCACTCTGTGCAATTGTTGCTTTGTTATCAATTCTCAAACCACATTTCCCCCAGTTGCCCACAGATCCACGTACTTGACTGAAAACAAGAACATGTTTCAATATCTAAGATCTAGCTTCAGGTGGCAGCTATTACCATTTTGGAATTGAAGCACTGTTACGTTTGAGACAGGATAGCTTTGAAGACGATCTAATACACTGTAAACACTGATGGTTTGCCCCTTTTTAAAAGCACTTCTGATCAGTTTTGGCCAATATTAGGAACCATTGTTCAAACCAAACCCTCTGATCCCTTCATAATTGGCCTTTAGAATTCTAAGCCCTCAAATTTGGAATTTGTACATGATTTCGTGACCGAAGCAGTTGATCTGAAAAACAGGTTTCACGAGCGGAGATATGCATTTTGGTGTAGAAATTCATTCATTCATTTGTGATTCACCAGCACGTTCATTCGTTAAGAATGTGAAATCCCGCTCTGGTTACTCTGACAAGTGCAGACAGGGCTATATCTAAACCACAGGATGACAGATTCTGTCCTAAGATCAGATGCTTCATGTGATGAAATGCATGATGAGGATCATCATAAAGGGCCAACACCATTACAAAGGCTTGGTGTTGGGATGGTCAGTCCTCTAGACTATATGCATTTGATTTGTCTAGGGGTTGTTAGACGGTTGCTGTTGATTTGGATAAAGGGTCCTTTGACGTGCAGACTAGGAGTCAGAGTCATCAATAGCATATCTAATGGACTCACAGCTTTAAAAAAGGATGGATTCCCAGAGAATTTGCTAGGAAACCCAGAACATTAATAAAGATTGAAAGGTGGAAGGCTTCTGAGTTTCGTCAATTTCTTTTATATACAGTTCCGTCGGTTTTAGCAGGGAGAATACCAACATTGCTCTATCAAAACTTCATGTTATTGCTTGCTGGTATGCACATTCTTCTCACCCCATCTCTTTGCAGAACACATTGTGATTATCCTGAAAGCCTTCTTTCCCTCTTTGTCACACATTGTGGAAGTGTCTATGGCAAGGACATGCTAGTTTACAACATGCATTCAGTAGTTCATCCTGCTGAAGAAGTGCAAAAGTTTGGCTGTCTTGCAATGATAACGTATGTGCTTTCCCTTATGAAATTATCTTGCAAGATTGAAGAGATTAGTAAGAAAACCATAATTAGGGCTCCTTGCCTCTAGGCAGGAGACCTATTGTAATCGTTCGGATTATTATGTTTTACAGATTAAAGATAGCATGCAGCAGAGAGAGTCCGGGTGATCCTGGCACAGTCAGGCTGGTAAAGCTCATCATCAGCTCAGGGCCCTCACCCCCTCTACACGCAGCCCTGACAGCGAATGGGGCTTCTCCCAGGAAACGCTGCCTAGTCGAACCAATCAAGAACTTTCCGGAGAATATGAAGGCTCCCCAACACTGCAGCCTTCTGCATTACCCAGAGTGTCAGAAGGGCTGTACTCCCGATGGAGAACCCGGGCACTCGCCTGATCTGCGCCAAGAGATCAGGAGGTACCAAACCAAGGGCACCGAGAATAATGGGGGGGAGCCAGGCGACAGTGTACCTGGGATGCAAGCGAGACATTTCAAAGGCGAGGTCCGCATATTTATCATGCTTTTCCTGAATCTTGCCGATCACATTGGTGTCAAAAGGGACAGAAAATTCAATGATATAAATAAATTCATTGGCTTTATCAAAGCTTTATGCTGTCTGTGCCAAGGAAGGGCATCCACTGACAAGGTGTTGGACAGTCTCTGTGAATTCATTGCAAAGTCGATATTATTTTTATTATTATTATCATTATTATTATTTATTATTCCGCCGATTTTTGTACCAAACATAGCTCCTAAACCAATGCTCCGAATCGCTTACAAAACTCACACAGATGCGCACCGAGGTGTAGATATTCTCCATAAAAATCTCTAGGCACTAGTCCCAATAGCAAAGGGGAGATAATTCAAAATTAATTCCAAGATTTCAAAGTTTGACAGCAAATATATCAAGAACTAATTGTTCCAACACTGCCAAATCTCTTGTACAGCTGCACAATCGAATTCCCAACAATTTTGCCTGGACGGGTACCATTTGGCAGTTATTTTGTTTTAAGTTTTTGGCCATGTTTTTCAGCAGTTTTCTGAGTAGTTTGCAACCAAAATGTGCTGAGCTCCAACCATCAGCTCTAGACATTCCAAACTTTCCATAACTGATGTCCAGTCACCATTGTGCAAATTCTGCTAGTATGGTAGATGAAGTCTTGGTGATTCCAGAACACTAATTGTTTTGACCGTAGACCCAAGAATAACTGAGATGCAGCCTTTTAAAGAGGGAACTATTTCTTCTCCAGAACTTCTTAAAAAGGTACATGACCCCCACGACCCCGGCTGTATTTGGAAGATCCGCTCGCCTGTCAAAAACGTTTTCTGGCTCCGTTTTGGGCGATGATTTCTTGCCCTCAAATACAATAGATAGAACTAAAACCAAGGAACCCTCATCGTTGCTTGCAACTATATTTTGTCTGGCGACAGATAATTCGACGCCTTTCAGAAGGATTGCATCAAGTTAACTCAACTGCGTTTTGGTGATTTCTTCAATTATCCCCTTGAATCCAAGTTATTTGGAATTTATGAAGTTTCTAAACTTTCTGAAATATATTGTTATGTGGCATTGTCTGATGTAGCTACAACAAGTCTTATGATTCCACATATGGCCAAATTTGTAGCAATTCCAATGACACAAAAGTTATTCCAGTAATACCATCTTGGCAAGTCAAATTGCCGTATATAATTCACAAATAGTTAAAGGTTTGATTTAGATTTGTTTTTGTAGAAGGAGGGTGGAAAAATGTTCCTATTTAATTGATGGTTCCTGTAGATTTGGATTTATTCCTCAACCATTAGGAAGTTTATTTACTTGAGCATTGCATTTTAATACATGAGTCATTTCAATCACTTTAAGCACCTTTACAGTTGACAAAATCTAATACCACAAAAAGGACTTTTTTGTTGGCCGAGTAACTTTGCTGGCTATTCCAGATAAATGTTTGTTGTCGCCATATTCACCGACGAAAGTGAAGTACAAGTCATTCCCATGAAATGGATGGTCGGGAAGACTCACTGTTGTGGCCCCCGTCAAGGCCAGCCAAATCCGACAGGCCGTAAGGTGTTGTAAAGACTCGGACCACACATTCAATAATGCCGAGTCCCGTATCAGTGTGGTGAGTTACACACTTTCATGATAGAATAACCAATTTGCAAATATATTTGTACCTGAATTAAATGCAAATTAACAATATAAATGCAGTTTCAAAATATGCAAAGCATTATATCCATATCATTTCTTCTCCGCACAAAAAATAACTTTGTTCCTATCGTTTAGTTGTTAATTTGGATATACACGTTCATTAACCAATAACAATACATTGTAGTTTCTGGTCACAATCCAGTAAAAATACAGATTAAATGTTGGCTTCTCTCAACATATCATCTAAGACTGACTGACTGAGTTTGGTTTTACGCCGCTTTTAGCAATATTCCAGCAACATCACGGCGGGGGACACCAGAAATGGGCAACATATGTTGGAATTCATCTTCGGCGTGACGAGAACGCTTTAACCATTAGGCTACCCACCGCCCTTATCATCTTAGCAAATGTCCCAGTACTTCTGTTGATCATGCACATGAGGCCCATTAGAAATACCATGATATATCATGTATTATAAAACTGCATCTTTTTTAGTTAGATACTTATGAAAAAAGCGGTGAAGAAATGCAAGATTGCAGAGACTACATCAGACCTGCAAACAGATGCGGAAAAAAGCCATGGAAAACGCAAAAGAAGGTGAGTTTAGATATAGTCAAATTTATCAAAGTTTCAAATTTCAAACAATTGTGTTTAGTTATATTGGGAAAGCATATAGTTACTCGGCCTTTAAAGATATAACAGGTTAAAGTAGATGTGCAAGTTTAATTCACATTGTGCAATAGACTGGAGTGCTTATGAAGTCACAATGTTAGCACTGCTATCAAAATGGTCTGTGACTTTGTTATGACGTTGTGACAGCGATATTGTTACATATGTCGGCGAGTAATGAACAGAATTTTTTTTTTTTTCCAATGTATAAAGCTAGTTAGTATCCTCTATGAATCAGTTAAAAAGAAATAACATCAAATTTTCAGACCTACGTTTCGCTACCTGGTGTCGGCTACTGACAGTGATAGCACTCCATCTAAAACGCCGTAGAGATTCAATCATTCCCAAGCCACCACCAGCCCCTGTGCCACCAGCCCCACTTTGCCACCACCACCACTTTGCCACCACCAACCCTTTGCCACCACTCAGCCCCTTTGCCACCACCAGCCCCTTTGCCACCACCAACCCCTTTGCCACCACCAGCCCCTTTGCCACCACCAGCCCTTTGCCACCACCAACCCCTTTGCCACCACCAACCCCTTTGCCACCACCAACCCTTTGCCACCACCAACCCTTTGCCACCACCAGTCACCACCAACCTTTGCCACCACCTCAACCCCACTCTATCCCCAGATTCCCCTAGAACTTTCCGTACTCTCCAGACGTTTCCAACACCACACTCAAGGAGAGATAAATAGTAACATTTTTATATCATTCTTAGTAACATTCTTATATCATTCTTTACCACCACCAACCCTTTGCCACCACCAGCCCCTTTGCACCACCAGCCCCCTTTGCCACCACCAACCCTTTGCCACCACCAAACCCCACTGCCACGAAGGATCTATTCCCAGATTCCTCTAGAACTTTCCGTACTCTCAGACGTTTCCAACACCACACTCAAGGAGAGATAAATAGTAACATTTTTATATCATTCTTAGTAAATTAATTCATGTTGAAAAATTGACCTATATCTGAAATATACTGGGGATGCAGCAAAGTGGTAGATCATCAAGGGGTTAGAATCCTGGCCGTGCCATACCAAAAGACATTAAGGATTGAAGATCATTGTTGCTTTCTCGCTTGGTTCTTGATTTATGGGGGTCAAATAACAAAAATACGGAGCTGCTTGTGGTGACCAGTACACCCTGATGTACAAGACAAATTTTTAGTTCGATTAACTATTAAAAAATGTCATTATCATCATCATTATTTTAAAAGCCTACAAACATTTTGATTCAAAAGAGAAACGTTCCTATATACACAAGCTTTTACATTGAAACAAAGATTTAAAATTTGGCTGGATGTTTGTCCATTATTTCATGCATGAATATCAAATTTACTTATTGTGATGAGATTCATTTTTAATAATCTGGATGCAAAAGTTCTTACTTCTATCTCAAATGTTTCAATAATTTAATTGTCTTATTTGAGTGTTTTGATAATTTTGTGTTTTGACTATTTTTTTGCTACTCTGCAGTAGATGAGAAGATGCTCCCCCCAACTCCTGGAGGAGATCCGGGATGAGAACAAGACCAGCCAGAGACTGCTGACTCTCATTCTGAGGAAGCTCTCCTCAAGTCCTAGTGAGAACAACGATATGCTCCCAGATGGGATCAAGTTTTTCCTGGAGACTCCCCAGGAACTGGCAGCCCTGGAGGAGAAACTGGGAGACCAAGCAGTAAAGGGAAAGTGGTAAGTTTTATTCAGCATTAAATGAACTAGCACTTCATCTCTTTGTCCTGTTTGCAACTTGGGATGGGGTAGCGCAGTGTGTTCAACTGTGGATCATGAGGTCTGAGGTTCGAATTCCTCCAGAGGCTTGGCTATTTTGTCAGCTGTAGAGAACGTTTCTACATGGAGTAAGGTTTAGATGCAGTACTGCATTGATATTCAGTGCAGTAACACTATTTCGCACACTGGAGTATCTTTATTAATATGCACCCGCCTACAGTAAACAGGATGTAAAGCAACAATTTAAATAAGCACAGGTTCTCTAATAAGCACCTTTTGTGACACATACTTTAAATTGGTACTTTTAAACAAAATATCAGTAAATTGTTTTCATTTATTTGAGTTGAAGCTTTAAAGCGCCATACCTAAAAATAGGGGCTGAATCTGGAGGTCTGTTGAATAATAAGCACCCTGGCCCTAGTTAGAGGAAATATGATATTGGGGCATTTGGTTCGGATATCAAAACTATTTAAAGAAGCTTAAAACAAATACATTAGTATAAAGTGTTCCAGTTTTGTTTTGTTTTGCAAACTACACAGCCAGGCAGTCTTTATTTAGCAGGTGCCTTACATATAAATCTTGGCAGTTACCAGCATGAAACAATGTAGCACAATCATATTAGCCTTAGCACTTCATGGGTGTTATTTTTGGTCACCAATTCATGGGTACGTACATTATTTTTGTCATGGCGATGAGCTGTTGTATGTTTCAAATTTGTCCCCGTCCTTTGGTGACCTTGAACGGTCACCACGAACGGGGACTATGCATTCAGCCTACGTTGGTCACAGTCCGGTGACCTCCGCACGTACGTATGCCCGTCCGTACGTCCCGATTATTGTTAACGCGATATCTCGTGAACTGTTGTACCCAATGTCTTCAAATTTGGTGACAGCCTACGTTGGGAAATTATGCAGGCAACAGTCGATTTCTGGTGACCTTTGACTTTATCTTTCAAAGGTCACCATGACACCTTATCTTCAAGGTCAACACTTTTCAAACTCTTCAAACTCTTGTTAGCGCGACATCTCATGGGACTGTTGTACCCAATGTCTTCAAATTTGGGGACAGCCTACATTGGGGAGATTACGCAGACACCAGTTTATTTTGGGTGACCTTGACCTTATCTTCAAGGTCACCATGACACTTTGAACACTTTTCAAACTCTTGTTAAAGTGATATCTCATGCACTGTTGTATCCAATGTCTTCAAATTTGGGGACAGCCTACATTGGGGGATTACGCAGACACTAGTTGATTTGGGTGACCTTGACCTTATCTTGAAGGTCACCACGACACTTTGACAGCTTTTCAAACGTATTTAAACGCGATATCTCATAAAACATTGCACCCAATGTTTTCAATTATGTTGACAGCATATATTGGGTGATTATGCAGACACCAGTCATTTCAGGCATCTTGTATGTGACAAAAAATAAAAAGTAGTAAATATAGATATTCCATTCTTTAGCGGCTGGGGAAATTGCCATATCAGTGGCAAACACTTGTTATGTTTGGAAGCTCCAGCTGAATCCAACACATGATGTTTCTGACCCTAAATTATACATGAAAACTGTTTTATATATAAAATTTTGTTGTTTTATTATTTCAGGAGCAGTTTGGTCAACGGCTACAGTGTGTGTGCATTCACATTGTAAGCATGCTCCTCCACAATAATCGACACTTGCCACTTCGATATTATATTACATTAGTCATATATTGTAACACGTTTAATCCAGCATTTACCGGAAAAAACTGTATTGTATATGGAGACGACGTGAACTTTTAGTAATTGTGCACTTATAATGAGAATGAGTGTGTTACGCCAACTAGGTTTGGTATCTTATAGAATATATCTTATTGTGAAACATGACCGTACCCGTCGGTCTCAAAAGGTTGTAACCGCCTTAATTGTAACCGTAAATCTTTACTTGCCACCCTAAAACTGATACACCGGGATATAACTGGAACGTGTCCGTGAAGATCCGGGTTAGAATTGATCTTCAAAAACCCATGCTTGTCGTAAGAGACGACTAACGGGATCGGGTGGTCAGGCTCGCTGACTTGGTTAACATATGTCATACCAATTGCGTAGATCGAACTTCATGCTGTTGATCACTGGGTTGTCTGGTCTGGCACGATTACATACTGACCGAAGCCATATAGCTGGAGTGCGGCGTAAAACGACAAACAATCAACTATATCTGAAATACGGCGTAAAACGACAAACAATCAACTATATCTGAAATACTGGTCAAACCAATGCCTCTATCGATTTTAGGAATATTCCAGCAATGTCTCGGCGGGGGACATCAGAAATGGGTTTCACACATTGTGCCCATGTGGGGAATCGAACCCGGGTCTTCGACGCGACGAGCGAATGCTTTAACCACTAGGCTACCCCACCACCCCTCTAAAAAATATCACTATGATGTCATGCCCTGTAACGGGAACCGGTGAGGTATTAACAAACGATGCGACGGTCCCAACGAACGAACGAACACACAAACAGCAAGCGAATGAACGTCAGATGGGGCAGACGAATGTTTAGAGGAACGGAGGGACTATGGCACAGTGAGTTAGTGAGTATTGTTTTAGCAACATTCCAGCAATATCACGGCGGGGGACACCAGAAATGGGCTTCACACATTGTACCCATGCGGTTAATCGAAGTTACCTCATCGCCCGACAATCGGACAGACGAACGGGCGGACAATCGGACAGGCGGGTGGACAGACGACGGACGAACGAAGGAACAAACGAACGAACGGACGGATGAATGGATAGACGAACGGATAGGTGGACGATGGATATTGTAGCATACTGATCCAATGATGAACGCTGCCAACGAACTGATGACAGGACAGACGGACTGACGAACGAACGAGCGAACGGACGTGCGAATAAACGAACGAACGGACAGGCGGACGATGGATGTTGCGACATACTAATCTATTAATGAACATGTTTCTTCAGATGCCTGTGTATCCAACTGTGCGGGGCTATCTGGAAGACACCACTCTTGCCAAGGCTGTCATAAGTATGCCGTATCCTTTCTCGCCCGGCTGTCCCTTTCTCTGCACTCCTCCCTCGTAACAAATAGTGAACTGTGTCAATATTTTAATGATAGTTTGTTAAACAATTTTTTTCATTTTAGGACCTAAATTCTGCAAACAAATCACAGAGTTGGTCTGATATTTTGATTATGATCAGCGTTTCATTGAGTATTATATGTTTATTAGTTTTTGAGTTAGATTGCAATTCATCAGTCCGCTTTTGAGCCAAACGCACTATAGGTGTTTGCACGTATTCATGTGGCCACCATCTGGTCATATACAACAAGTACTACATAGTACAGTAATGCAAACACATATCGACTATATCAGCTCATTACAACCTATAACACCACAAAATGAGTAATGTGATGAATATTTGATTAAATGTGCATTGTTAGTGCCCAAAACTATCTTGAAGGCATTAAGGCTATAATATTTCCAGAAACATTCCGGCTGACACAATATTTTTCTAAGATCATCACATTCACAAGTAATAGAAAATAAAATTCGTCCTCTGTACTGTAATTTAAACCTGGACCTAATCTTCATGATCTATTGTGGGGCAGCCTGGTGGTTAAAGCGTCCGCTCGTCACGCCGAAGACACGAGTTCGAATCCCCACATGGGTACAATGTGTGAAGCCCATTTCTGGTGTCCCCCGCCGTGATATCGATGGAATATTACGAAAAGCGGTGTAAAGCCATACTCACTAACTCATCTGTCAGTAGTCACACTTTTCTTTTCATTGTTTTCCAACATTAATGAAGATCCACTCTCAATCTTAAAATAATATTTCTAAAATAGCTGTCAGATAAGACTAAGGGATATTTCTCTGGCCGTAACAGACTCTTAAATTCT